CAAAGCCCATTGTTTCTGAGTGTTTGGCTTCACGAGGAGATCAAAGCCCAGTGTTTTGTGGCATGGTATTTGCATTGTGAGAGTTCCTGAGTGTTTGGCTTCACAAAGAATTTATTTCATAAGGAAACAATTTCACTCCTTTCCTGACCATATAGATTATTTTTTATTGTGAGTATTAGGCTTATCATTATTGCTGATCACTGTTGTTGTGCTATGTTATTGTAATATTTACCATTACATAATCAGAGGAGTATAGAAAAGTTGATGAAAGGGTCACTCCACAATACAATAGCAAAATATATAAATATGTATAGTATTTTTATGTTACATTAATCAGGGTCTAGCACACCTTCCTAAGGATATGGACCAGAAGACATTGCAATTACTAATTGATATTTAGACAGACTTAAAGTTCCAGATCTATACTTGTGCTCTTACTATTGCAGTTATTTTGCCTTTAATGTAAATAAACATGTGCAAACAATATGCTTGCTCTTGTGAATTTATTTTGATGTTAAAGGGGTCATATGATGCCATTTAAATTTTTCCTTTCTTTTTGGAGTGTTACAAGCTCTTGGTGCATAAAGAAGATCTGTAAAGTTACAAAGAATAAAGTCTCAAATCCAAAGAGATATTCTATATAAAAGTTAAGAGTCAACCACGCCTACCTAAAACGGCTCGTTCTAACACGCCCCCACATGTCTACGTCACAATGTGGGAAGATATGCATAACGCCGCCCAACTGTTCACGCAAAGAAAGGAGGCGTAACTTTTATTCTCGTTGTAGTATTGTTGTTGTCGCCGCCGCTATGTCGTGAAGGCGCTGTGTTTCATGGTGAAAGCTAAACTACTTTGGTTGGCCTTCCAAGAGAGGACAATATCCGTTTCGTCATGCCTGGAGCTGATCCGTGCTGCTCGCTGAGGAAATACATCAACTTTGCACTAAAAAAATCTAATAAATAAATAAAAACTAAAGTCTTTCTGTTTCCGCCATATCATTATATTCAAAGAATGTCAGAAATAACTAATTCTCATGTCTAAACATTTATGCTCGACAAATTATCCTATCCAAATTAACCCCTGTGGAACACAAAAGAAGTTATTCAAGTCAGTGCATGCTGATGATCACTAGATCTCAAGGTCATCTTAAATTTATATATGCTTTTCTTTGGTCATGCCCTATTTCATCTCTAGGGCATCACAAGCAAATGAGCCAAAACTACTACTGTTTACTCAACCTGCATGATGATAACTATGAGTTATAGAGCACTGTGTGCGCAAGACAGAACATAGATGATATGATAGATGTGGTTTCTTTAAGCAATAAGCATGAGAATGCACTGGTGTAGAGATGGGGATTGTAGCTAATCAGAGCTACAGTGTGAGGAGCTGAAGTAGGACATGGTAAGAGGATATTAGTATGATTTATATTGTAATTGTTACGGGGCTGACGAGACGTGAGGATCCATATGCAAGCTTTATTGAGACGAAGACAGAGACGTGGTCATGAAACAGGCATGGGTCAGATGAGGGCAAACAGGTATATGGTGGGCAAAACACAAGAATAGTCCTAGGGCTAGAGCAGGTCGACGATCGGCAGACAGAATCAAAAGGGGCAAGACAAAAGGGGTGAATCCAGGGAACCAGGCGAAGATCAGAAACCGAGAAGGCTAAGGCTAAGGCTAAGGCAAATGACTAGGGCTAAGGCTAAAGCTAAGGAGAAATGACTAGGGCTAAGGCTAAAGCTAAGGAGAAATGACTAGGGCTAAGGAGAAATGACAAGGGCTAAGGCTAAGGCTAAGGCTAAGGCTAAGGCTAAGGCTAAGGCTAAATGACAAGGGCTCCGTAAAGTAGCTATCTCTAGGGGAGTGATAAATGCTGAAACAATACTCGGCAGAGGGAAGGGATCAGAGTGAGTGTTAAATAGTGAGGGAGTGATATGAAACAGCTGGGTGCAATCAGTGTAAACAGGTGTGTGCAATTTGTGCTGAGTGCAATCAGTGCAATGCATGATGGGAAATGTAGTCCGGGGTGCTATGCAACAGTTTGTGTGGTGCGAGAGTCAATGAAAAGGAAAGTTCATGGACCGGATTCGTGACAGTAATGCTACTACATGAAATAAGAAAAAAATAAACCTGTGCAGTTTTAGCTTATATAATTTATAAAATATATAAAAATTGTAGGTGGCTTTGCACCTTGCACAGATGTCTCTACAAAACATTATCATACCCATAATCGGGATGTGGCTTTAACACCATTCAGATGTACAAATCCAGCTGCCACTGTTGTTAGAATATCCACACAAATGGAAATAATGCAGAGAAACAAATACATAAAACTCAGCTTCTTGACAGGAGAGCATATGAACTTGACCCAGTCACAAATTCTATTATTACTTTGCCTAATTATCCAACATAATTGGCATAACCTGGTAACTGTCACCCGTCCCTCAGGAATCCTTCCCAAAAATATTCCAAGACTAGTCAAGTAGAAGAGCTGCCTCGGAATAACACATTCACCTCATCAGCTCCTTCACACCCTCGCAAGCTTCCTGGGAACAGCTTTTCTTGTTCTCAGAGCCTGGTAACACAAAAACACCTGGTGAAGGATGATTTCCCTACGGCTTTCACACTATATAAATAAATAAAATGAACTGGTTGACAGCAGGTGGCAGCTTCTAAGTGTATTTTGAGTTAATATTTCAAAACCTGTTTTTCAAAATGCATAAACTGACATGAGAAAAGGGAGACTGAAGTATTTTCAGACACACCTTAAAGTCAGCATCAAATTAAACCCTATTTACTTTACCTCAAGTTCTTAGATGTATTGTTCTTTGATTGAACTATTCAGTGATGCATGTTAATGCAAATACATTTTTTTGTCCTCATGATCATTCATTAGATCTCCTCTGAGAAATGCTGATGTCACTTAAGCCACGTGGTTATGGTAATGTTAACCAATAACCAAATAATTATTGCAAGCCATGTTGAAATCAATGTAACTAGATGATAACCTGGGACATCCTGCTTGGAACCAACCGTTCACGTCCTATTAAAATTAATCCGTGTAATTTGAGAAATCAATAGACAAAACCAAAATACAACAATTAGCAGTCATTGGTGCCTTCTTGACAGGCTTATTAATAGTTTATTTACGAGAAAATAAATCAAATTTGTAACGGTTACATTAAACTGTATTGTAACTAAGTATTTTGTTTCAGATTATTCTTGCATTATCAATACATTAACAACAGTCAATTATAGGAATTACTTAGAAAAATTACAAAATAACTGCTTAACTACATTTTTTTACTGAAAGTACTGCGATTTTGAGTGTTTCTGAATTACGTTGCAGTGGTCAGGTGGTACAACTTGGAGCGGTCATAAATTTAATAAAAAAGTTCTATAAGAACGGGAACAGTTTTTACAAGTTGAATTCTCATAAATGAGAGGATTCTCAAAGTTATTTTGATGCGTGTTCTTTGTCACAATTTAATTCTCAAAAAGTTATTACGATGTGATGTGAACACCTTATTTTTTTTTTTTACTTTTCACTGTCCAGGAAATTCTCAATGTATAAAATCAAGCTGGCACTAGATTTTTTCTTGTTTTATGAAACACACTATATTGTGTAGGCCAACCTCGAAGTTTGCATCACCCTGGTTCCCTCGACAATAAAGTATGTTTTGTAACCAACAAAAGTTTATGATTCTTACACGTTTTGTTCATCATGATAATCTAACCCTAAATGCCAATCACCAGATATAAAAGTTAGGTTAACCACCAATAAACTTCTGACACCTCTTTCAGTCTTCATTTAGACAATAAAGACTGAAAGACAAGTAAAATATTATATATATAAAAAAAATAAAATAAAAAATACAGATGGTTTTATTTCGTAGAATAAAACATGAAGCCACCTAACCCTAACCAAAACGCATTCAAAAAAACCCCACTGACTCCAAGATGATGGAAAAGTGCTAGAACGCTAACTTATTTGTGGGTTTTTGGCCTCCAAAATTATCCTTGCAGCACTCTATTCATTTTGACTTTGGATGTGTATGCAGGCTGTGATACGAAACGGGTCTAAAATGAAACAAACGACAAATGTTCAAGGGGGGGTAGGAGACATTGCTTTTAATTTAAAAATAAAGTTTTTAGCCTTAAATTAACAATGGATCTCTATTCCAATTCAAAGGAGTGTAATGTCTACTGCACAAAACAACTGCAGACAAAGATCAGTAATGCTATACAGCTAAAGGAATCTCCACAAAACAATGTTTTTTTTTTTTTTTAAATAATGTAGGTTATTTAAATGAGGCATTTCTTTGGCACTCTCTAAATGGAGCGCTTCAAGATGTTGCCTTCCCTGCCTTAAGTACTATGAAACTCACAACTGAAGAGGAAAAAAAAAAAGTGGATAAGTGCACCAGTTCGACCATGACTGGTCACAAGTCAGTCTTACCTGTGTTGGCATATTAATGCAACTAAGAGTAGAAAAAGTAGAGAAAATCTGGCTTTAACACACATAAATACATCTTTTTACAAACAAAGTAAATCCAGAACTAATATGCAACAAGGAAACTGGCATTCCTTTCACTTCAACAACAAATTATTTAAATAAAACAAAATCCAAAGCTGCTGTATCCACCTAAACATGAGAGTATAAAGCTAGTTTTATATAATGTCCCATGTTTACAGTAGATCACACATGAGAGCTGCTCGTACTAATAAAAACTAGATTCATCCATGAGATTCAGATATTGCCAAGCACTTTAAGACCTATAAAAAAGGTCAGCAGGATGGCGCATCCACGCTGACTAAAGATTTGTCTGATGGCCTAAAGGTCTGTTCTTGTGCGGTCAGCCGGTGGGTCTGCAGGGAGGTGATTAAAAAAAAAACTGTTGAAACATTACCGCCACCTGATTGAAGATAGTAGGAGCCCGAGAGCTGTTCAACGCCCCCGCTGAGCCTGAGCCGGTTGTGTGCTGTCTGAACAAACAAACACTCTTACAAAAGACATTCCTAGCATTTAATCTCTGGGACTCTCATCTGTGCTGGCTGAAGACCGTTCACAGCAATGAGAATTCATACTTAGCCTGAAGGTCTAAAACTTGATTTTGGTGTTTTTAAAAACAAAAGGCTCTGTACTGTATTTGCAGTTGTCTGATCACGTGATGACATTTGTCCACTTTAAACAGAGACATCTAGTCCAGCCTGTTTTTCTGGCGAATTGATCTGTTTGTTGAAGACACTGTCTGTGTGGAGTAAGTTACTCCATGATGCTTCTGTATATGACCGGTTCGATGTAGTCCTCTCTATAGCGGGAGTTAATCACACGCTGTCTTTTTGAGTCTTGCTTCACCTCCTTCTCCACAAACACTCCTTTGAAGCGCATATCCGACGCCACAGACTAGGGATAGAAATTAAACGTATTTAATGTCTGTTAAGCCACTTGTTGTTCAGTAGCACTGTGTCATGACAAGTTAAGATTATTATTGCAGTGATAAGACAGAAGGAGGAAAGTAGCTTTGTAATGAGTTTCTTGATGGTGTACCGCACATTATAATTTAATGAAGCGGCGCCGGCAGGAAAACACTCACCAAGCGGGCTTTAACACGTTTGGGCAGCACCTCGTTCAAACTGTACACATCTTCCCTCTTTACAGTAAGCTGAGAGTCATCTTCAAATTCCACCTGGAAAATAATTAATATTGACATTTAAAAATGGAATTGTGTGTATTTACATTATAAAATGGTATTTAAATTGCTTTGCAATGGTAAACAGTCTACATTTACACTGCCTTCAGGTAATGTAAGAACAATCTTATTTTCGAGTGTGACTGTATAACTAATTTGTATTCATTTTGTGCACTGTTGATGAAGGACAGCTATAATGTTTGCCAGAAAATATAATTTAGTTGGGTAATTAAGCAACAGGGTTGACACAATGGTAAAATATGAAGAGACATAAACAATTACAAACCTAATGCACATCCTCTGATCTGAATTTTCCTGTATTATTACTAAGAATCCTGTCTTGGTAAGTGGAAAAAAGAAAAAAACTAGACCTGTTGGGTTGTTTTGCCGGACTGAAATCACTTAAAGTGTGTTGCATCATAAATTTGACTTAAGTTCCACATTGCTAACTTTTGGTGGAAGAATAATAATAATAATAATAATAATTAGTTGCATTTATATAGCGCTTTTCTAGGCACTCAAAGCGCTTTACATTGTCAGGGGGTATCTCCTCGTCCACCACCAGTGTGCAGCATCCACCTGGATGATGCGGCGGCAGCCATAGTGCGCCAGAACGCCCATCACACACCAGCTTATTGGTGGAGAGGAGACAGAGTGATGAAGCCAATTAACAGATATGGGGATTGTTAGGAGACCATGATGATCAGAGGCCAATGGGCAAATTTGGCCAGGATGCCGAGGTCACACCTCTAACTCTTTTCAAAAGACATCCTGGGATTTTTAATGACCACAGAGAGTCAGGACCTCGGTTTAACGTCTCATCCGAAGGACGGTGCTTGTTGACAGTATAGTGCCCCCGTCACTATACTGGGGCGTTAGGACCCACACAGACCACAGGGTGAGCACCCCCTGCTGGCCTCACTAACACCTCTTCCAGCAGCAACCTAGTTTTCCCAGGAGGTCTCCCATCCAGGTACTGACCAGGCTCAGCCCTGCTTAGCTTCAGTGGGCAACCAGTCTTGGGCTACAGGGTGATATGGCGGCTGGATACACACAAGAATAGTTTATTCTCATTATACAATACCATTCAAAAGTTTGTGGTCTGTATTTTTTCTTAATGTTTAGAAAGAATACTGCATTGATTTATTTAAAATAAATAAATGCAGAAAATACCCATTTTCTATTTGAAAATATTTTTTAAAAGCAATTTACTCCTGTAATGCAAAGCTGAATGTTCAGCAGCCGTTACTCTAGTCTTCAATGTCACACGATCCTTCAGAAATCATTATAATATGGTGATTTTCTGGTCAAGAAACATTTCTTATTATTATTATCATCAGAGTTGGAAACTGTGAAACTTTTTTTGATTGACATTTAAAAATATGATTTTTTTTTTATTAAAAATCTTATAAAACATCATAAAAATATTTACTGTTACTTTTGAACAACGTAATGCCTCCTTACTTAATAAAAGTATTAATTTCTTTCAAATAAAATCTAACTGACAAATATTTAAACAGTAGTATAAGAATTATGATTAACAATAACTGTTGAAAAATAAACAAACAAACAAATATTATTATTTGACCACTGGTTTATATCATGTTGCTGTTTTATAAAAGCAACAATCCAGTAGAGTCTGTGGGTTACTGCGATTTAACCATGGGTAAGGAGTGTACCCATGGTAAATGGGGCCTACTGCTGAAATGTAAGCTTATTGTGTGATCTCTCACAGCTTACTGCTTTAACAAAAGCAGCAACAACAATGAAGGCCAACGTCATGAAAAAAAAACAAAGACTGTCATGACTGTACTTCATTATTATGTGAATATGTATGGTACTGAATGTTATGATATTAAACTTTAACAGTATACAACACCGATTAGTCATCAGTCTTCTATCCTAAATTATAATGATTTTCAGAATACACTGCAAACAGTCATCATACTGTGACGCATCTACTTTGCAGTGTCTGAATTTGAACTCGAACCCAAATAGTGTACACAAGTGTGTTTGCTGTCCTCTGACCTGGTACATTGGGATGATATGGTCAGACACAAATTTGGCTCCATAGATCAGGCCATCTGTCCAGCGCACTTGAACTACATCTCCCTCTGATGGTGGACCGAGCTGCCTACAGTCTCTATTCTGAAAAATAAACACCAGCAGGGCTTCAGTTCAGTACACTGCTTTTAATCATCAAACATTGTTTTGAGCTGTGTAACCCTAACCCCTTACGTACCACTATATCCTCAGGGAACAAGTTGTCACTGAATGAGCCATCATCAAAGATAACCTCATAAAAGGTGGCCTTTGTCAGCTCAACCACCTCACAATGGTAGTAACGGCCATTTCTGTGCTTGGAGATTACTTTCTGTCCCTTCTCCAACTCGCGCATAGATGCCTTGTTGCGTTGCTGAAGATAACATCAGATATTAGACATCTCAGACAACACACATCTTTTGCATGGTTAACAATAATGCTCTAACATGACAGACTGCAGCAAGCAAAAAGCTTATACTTATGACATTACATACTGTACTAGTCACCAACCTGCACAACAAAATAATAATAACACGTGTTGGTGGAAATAGACAGTAAATACATACCGACTCAAAGAACAGAATTACAACCCGATAAACCACCCAGACAAAGTTTACAGTAATTTTTTTGAAGTGGTTCTACTACTTGTCAAATTGTTTCATATGGTTTTGGGAAAAAAAATTAAAATGTAAACTTTCAATAAAAGTCTAAAGCAAGTCATTTTACACACAAAAAATAACACTTTGAAGTATATTTTTCACTATTAATAATTCATTATTATTATGTTTTTGAGGAGTAACAAGAGTCATTTTACAACTTGAACTAACTTTGTCTTGTTATAAAAAGGTCAAACTATCTGATATTTTATGACACTTGACCTTGACACACAAGCTGTGTCCCAATTCAGAGGCTGCATCCTTCGAAGGCTAAATGTGTCACATGAAGGCGGTCCCATTTCGAAGCTTCTTTCAAATGTGGCCTTCATTTCCCTGGCCACGAAGGGTACAACAAATGGACCCTTCATGACCCAAACTATCCCAAGACTCATTGCACACTGGTGACAACAGAGTCAGTACTTCATTACACTTAAGAATTGAGTTTCAACTTACTTGAATATCTATATAAATGTTACAAAACCATCTTTAAAGTAGTTTAAATGCTGACTTCCATATATAGTTTAGACTCAATATATAGTTTATTATGAACATAATTAGACCAAGCTGTTTTGTTTTCAGACAGTTGAATATAACTTTTAAAAGAAGTCCAGTTACTTCCACTCGTCAACAGCAGCGGTCACAGTCACTATCTCCCTTAGGCTAAATCATCACTTTAGACAATGCTTGGTTTGAATGTTTCAGCCTTTGTGTGGCCTTTGAAGTTAATGATTTTTGAGAGATGCAGTCCCTGAATTGGGACAAAGCTACAGTCGGAGGATCTTCAGTAAATGATAGCATGTCCTTCTTTATTTTTGGCAGGCTAAATTTGCACCAATATACTATAAAGTTTGATTAAACATCAGACCTTTAATGTCAACAAGGCAATGGGAAGCATTTTCCATTTCCTATTTAAAAGTTGATTTATTTTGCTGCCCAAACTGTGCAATTACACGGTTAGTTGCATTTTCTTATTTGCCTTTAGCACTGTTCCCCCCCTTTGTTAGAACTACCAGTGCAGAGCAGAGGCTGAATACCAGGAAAGGAAAGAGAACCTGTCCTCTTATCATTCCCTTATTGTGTCATTCAATGTATTTAGGGATGCACGATTAATCAAATGCGATTGTCATGCGCATCTCATCAGTAAAGCCGGTTCTGTGATTAGGGGTATATCTCCATCACGTGCTTTCAGATGGAGCGGCATTTAATACACAGAGCCGTAGTTCACTGACAAGCTACACAATATCACGTTCATAATCACAGGCAATTCATCGCCAATAATGAACGCGATATTGCGTAGCTTGTCAGTGAATAAAGGCTCTGTGTAGTAAATGCTGCTCCATTTGAAAGTAGGTGATGGTTCTTTACTACTAATCACAGAACCGGCTTTACTCGATTTTTTGCACAGCCCTAAATGTATTTAACACAAAAACAGTGAATTTGCTTCTATGTGCATTTCCATTGTTTAGCTGTCATATCTAGACTTCGCTATAATCCTGCACATGTCCTGTGTTGTGTCAATACCTCTATTTGGATGCCACCCTTGTGTCTCCAGCAGGTAAAGTAGACCACAAACGGCCAATCATCCGGGTGCATTTGAACTCCAGCTGCCTGTGCACAGCTCGGGTGAAAGGAAGTGGAACAGCGGCCATGTGAGCATTGCACGCAGCAACCAGTGCTCTTCTTCACCCATTTACGGCAAAACTGGCATTTCTAAAAATACATTTTTGTTAGTTATGTCTTTGACCTTAGAAATAGACTTGGGCTCAGGCAAGGTGAACAATCAACAAATTCTAATGAAAGTTAAAGTAATTTGTTAACTTTCAATACTATTTTAACTTACACTGCTTAACAGACGTGCTATACAAACAGTGCTGGTGATTAATTAACTAGGAGTAGAGATGCTGCCAACCTACTGTTATCTACTATTTTTTTCAGTAATATGAGAATACCTCAGCTATTCTCAGAATAGCAATGCTTTTACAATAACAAGGTAAGTTTTCCAATGAATAACCTGAAAAAATGCAGCACTGCCACATTTTGCCTCATTTTATATAGTATTGCACGCACACACATTGTTTAAAAATGTAGGGTTAAGATCATTAATTTTTTTCAGAAAAGTATATTATGCTCACGATTTGCTCAAAATACAGTAAAAACAATATTGTGAAATATTTTTACAATTGACAAACAGCCATTTATTTATTATTATTTTTAAAATTTAAATTATTCCTGTGATAGTAAAGCTGAATTTTCAGCAGCCAATATTCCAGGTTTCAATATCACATGATAATTCAGAAATCATTCCAATATGCTAATTTGCTGTTCAAGAAACATGTCTTATTATTATCAATGCTGAAAAACAGTTGTGCTGCTTATTATTTTCTGGAAACTATGATGCTTTTTTTCACAGATTCTTTGATGAATAGAAAGTTCAACAGAACAGCTTTTAACTCTAAATATATTTTTTGTAACATTAAAATGTTTTAATATATAATATGTATGTAAATATATAAATGTCTATCCTTGCTAAATAAAAGTATGCATTTCTTGAAAAAAAAAAACTAGAACGGTGTTTCTCAACCCTGGTCTTGGGAGCCCCCCAGCACTGCACATTTTGTGTCTCCCCCTAATCAAACACACCTGATTCAACTCATTAGAAGAAACTCCAGGATCTGAAATGGGTGTGTCAGACAAGGGAGACATACAAAATGAGCAGTGTTGGGGGGGCGCCCCAGGACCTGGGTTGAGAAACACTGCTCTAGAAAATGTGCAAAATATGTGTTCTGTGTGAACGGCTTGGTTTCAGTTTTGACGTAAACAAGATCTTCTCCTCATTGATGTTCTCTTTTCCCGCAATATTTGAAATTAACAACGCAGCACCGCCGCATCTAGTGGCTTCAACTGGATAGGCTAACAAAAACATTAAAATGCAATGACACTTACATCGCCATCGTATCTCGTGCGCCACTGATAAGGCTGCCTCAACGCACACCTAAAATTAGAATGCAACGTTTTTGCATCCGAATGTGGGTTTTTATTTTAAATTCGTCAAATATTCAAAATTTTTTTTGACAGCCCTAGCTGTGACACATCATATCAAGTGCAGATATTTCAGTGATAACAGAGAGTGACAAACTGCTTACTTGTATGAACGCGCACACTACACACAGAGCAGCTGACGAGTTGGCTAGTTCCGTCTTCCTCCACATTCGGAGTGGACAGGTGTCCTTCAGAGCTGCTGGTGAAGCACATCTCTGGAATCAGTGGCTTGGTCCTCCGTTTGTCTCCTTCAGCTGCAGAACTGCTCTGGCTCAGGCTGATTACGTCACTCTATATGGAACAAAACGGCAGAGTGCACAGCACAGTCTTACAGTGGTTCCACAAATCATTTTTCAATTATCCACTCACAAATAATGGGATAATTGCATCTGACTGTACCAAATCTACCACTACATTTTGTTTTTACAACTAATCAGACTTCAGCGTGTAATTTCTGAGCCACTGGCAGTATCAAACAGCCAAAGAGACCAAGTTGCTGTGTTTGCCAACTCAAAAGAGCTTTGAGCAATAAGAGATTTTTGTGATGGTAATCGCATGCGTTACCTCTGTGTACGTGTGAAAGAGAGTACACACTGCACAGTACGGAGGTTGCTGGCCCATGCAGAAGTTAAAATCCTTCTCAACTCTAAAGTTGCGTTGCTTGCTTTGCCACATGGGAGCAAGGAGTCTGGCCCAGGGATCGGTCTCCTCTGGCTCAGCTGCTGGCTCTTGAATCTCTGTGGAGTGAAGGAGTTCATTAGAAAGAGCACAAACAGTGATGCGACAATCAATGAACAATGTGAAGCAGATCCTAACCGTCATCACTGGAGCTCTCTCTGAGCAGGGGATGAAAGCGTGGCAATTTACTGAGTGGCTGCAGTTTCCTCTTCATGCTCTTATTCTCTTTCTCTCCCTCGATTTCAAGCTGAAAAAAGCAAGAGAGGAGTTAAATTTAATTTGGATTCATGTTGAAGTCATTTTTTAAAAATATACCTTTAACACACACTACCGTTCAAAAATTTGGAGTTGCTATGCTTTTTAAAGACTCTTATGCTCACCAAGGCTGTATTATTTTTTTTTTAAGTAAAAAATAAAGACAGTAATATTTTGAAATATTATTGCAAAATAACTGTTTTGAATACACTTAAAAATGTACTTTATTCCTGTGATGGCAAAGCTGATTTTTCAGCAGACATTACTCCAAATCTTCAGTGTAACAAGATCACATTAAATCATTCTAATATGAGTCACATGACCCATCAGAAATTATTCTGAATTATTCAAATAGTTGATAAAACGAAAGTTCAAAACAACAGCATTTATCATTTATTTGAACATTAACATTATAAATGTGTTTACTGTCACTTTTAATCACATGAATACGTCCTTGCTGAATAAAAGTACTCAATTTCTTAAAAAAAAAAAGCCTCACTGACCTCAAACTTTTAAACAAACTTAAAATAATAGTGCACCTTACTACTACTGCATGATATTGTGGTATCATCAGTTATCGGAGATTTATCAGAAGTAGTCAATACTGGATAATGTGCAGCTCATTTCCTCTGTTTTTACATTCAAGTTACCTTTGAAGTAATTTCATTCAAAAGCAATCATTACAATATTAATAATTTAATGACACTGTTAAATGCCTTTAGCAAATAATTTTTCATGCTGTTCATTATAATGTTGTGACTGCTAAATTCACTTAAATTGGTTGATTTTCGTTTTTTTTTTTGGCGATTTATTTTTAATCAATTCATACTAATATTATATAATTCCAATGTATAGGCCTTTTATCAGCAATTACATGAAAATAATCACTGGCTTATTGAGTTATTTTATAATCAATAAACTGCTGTTTTAATTGCATAATATTTAGTTACTTGATTTTTTATATGCTATAGTACTATAAAATCATTTTAACTGGCCCAATCAAATATCAACACACCAAGTCAATATATGTACCAACCTTTGTGTTTGGTTGTGGCGTATTTGGCCTCACATCTGGTTTGATGTCTGGCTCATTGAGGTCTTCTCTGGGTTTCTCTGTGCTGGGTTGTTGAGGTTTATGGAGCGCTGTTCTGGCTGCATAGCTGTGGACCTGCAGGGCATCTGAAGGGCTCAGGGTCCGATGAAAGAGAAGGCTTGCCACCCCTGGTTTGGTGGAAATCCGTGGCACAGCTGACAGGCAGTGAGGGACAGTAGGGACAGATGCTATAGAGAGGTGACGCTTTGGGAAGGACTGTGTAGAGGCTGAAGAAGGGTTTGCGGCACTTAAACATGCTTCCCTAACATGCTCCCTGGATGCAGTGCTTCTGGAACCAGGAAGCATCTTTAAACTGGTTGAGCCCGTCAGAGGCAGCAGATCATCTTCATCTTTCAATTCTGAAATGGATTTGGTTTTCATCAAATTTCATATAAATATTCGCGATTAATCACATCCAAAATAAAAGTTTTTGTGTAGTGTGTATGGTGTGTGTATATATATATAACCAGGAAGCATCTTTAAACTGGTTGAGCCCGTCAGAGGCAGCAGATCATCTTCATCTTTCAATTCTGAAATGGATTTGGTTTTCATCAAATTTCATATAAATATTCGCGATTAATCACATCCAAAATAAAAGTTTTTGTGTAGTGTGTATGGTGTGTGTATATATATATATATATATATATATATATATATACACACACACACAGTAGATAGATAGATAGATAGATAGATAGATAGATAGATAGATAGATAGATAGATAGATAGATATAGATAAATATTAGCATTGTAATTTTAAAGTTGCACTCTTATTAATATTAAATAATTTATGTAAATTATATATGTTTCTTTTATTTATTTTTATTCTACAGTGAAATTACAATATAATATTTAATAATTTCTTCTTCTTCCTCCTTCATCCTCCTCCATCTTCTTCTGTAATCACAAAATTGAACTTGAAGTTGAACTTAAAAGCTCAAGTTAAAAAGCTTGATCTGTGCATATATATGACATGGTGTCATGCGTTAGATGCAAGATGTGAGCCCAAAGTTCAAACACATCCATCTAGCACAAGTTTACATAGAAAAACAATGTGAAAGTATCGCAGTGGAATGGAAAAACACTTTCTGTGTGAACAGGCCCCTTGAGGTTTTCCTCATCGCTGCTCTTTTGTCCTGAGTGTCTTTGTCACTGTTTTATCATTTTAGATTTTCTTTAGTGTCTAATTTTCCAATCTCCTTCCCCGCTGTTTTTCTGAGCAGCGTAATTCAGTGTGCTTTGATTAGATCACACGCTGCTCTTTCTCTCTCGCTCAGTAAAGGATAAAAGGATTATGGTAACATTCCAGTGTGATAATGAATCGGGACGCTGCTGGTCACATGACACTGTAAGTTTCCACTACCCGGCTGTAAACATCATGAATCTTTCAGAAAGAGAGAGCGTAAGACAAAGAGGGAGAGAGAGATAGAAATGGGGACTATGGACACTTCACAGAACATTTTAGCTCCTAGACAGCAGCTTGTGTTGACTCTGGATTAAATGACCCAGACATTTGTGACATTTGTGTTTAGACTGGGGATAAAATAGCTCAGATTCTCCCGTGATAGTGAATATTGTTTTGACTACATTAAATGAAGCGGATAGTATCCCGATATATAACATTGCCTTTTTTGAGAGCGGTTATTTTTGTGCCATTGTCTTAAACTTGTCGCATCTTTCCCAAAAAGACTCATGGCTGTATTAGATCAAAAGGGTGCTTCTACTAAATACTGAGCAAAGGGTCTGAATACTTAGGACCATGTGATATTTCAGTTTGTCTTTTTTAATAAATCTGCAAAAATGTCAACAATTCTGTGTTTTTCTGTCAATATGGGGTGCTGTGTGTACATTAATGAGGAAAAAAAATTAACTTAAATGATTTTAGCAAATGGCTGCAATATAACAAAGAGTGAAAACTTTAAGGGGGTCTGAATACTTTCCATATTTTTTTTTCTTAAATATATACATGCATGGATGTGTATTTATATATACATAATAAATATACTCAGTACACACATATACTATGTAAACAAAAACTTTTATTTTGGATGCGATTAATTGTTTGACAGCACTAATAAATACACACACATGCATGTAAATATTTAAGAAAAATATGTTATGTTTATATATAAAATAAATGATATGAATATAAATATATAAATACATGTAAACCTTTTCTAAATATATACTGTATGCGTGTCTCTATATATACATAATAAACATACACTGTACACAAACATATATTATGTTCACAAATCTTTTATTTTGGATGCGATTAATCGCACCAATCAATATATCAGCA